GACTCATAGCGACCCCTCCTTGGGTTTCCGAGGCAGTATCACTACGGAAGTAGGATTGCCCAACCTTCCTTCCGAGGAGTGGCTGGTGGGGGTTTAATCCAATTACCTACTCTAAATATCTTAACATTCACTTTACCTCATTCCTACCACAGTAGTAAAATTCTATTCTTTCTTACTATGAAATCTTTCTCACATAAATTTTTCCCCTCCATTTCCACTGCCATTACTAAGTTCAGATTATAAAAGCTTCCTGATTTCTTTACCTTCAAATCCTACCCTCTAATAATATATAGTACTCACTACTGCTAGATTGACTTTTTCACAAAACCACTTTCTTTCGTCGCTTTATTATCAATCGAAAAAGTCTTTTAATGGAATTCTAGTACCTAAGTTTCTTAGCCTTAATTTTCAAAACTCTCCAAAATTCACAGAATCACCTATAATAATCTTCTCTTAAAGGAAAACCCTCCACTCTCATTAGGAACGATTATTACTATACCTAGAACAAACTTAATTTTTGTAATTTCCCCATGTCATCAAGATCATGTGATTCCTAAAGGCAATCTCAATTACTAAGAAAAACTTGTGACTGAAAAGACACATCCAAATAAAGGAAATGGGAGTGAAGTCTGCTAAGAAATAAACGGTAAGTAGAAAAATAAATGCCTAAAAGAGGGAATTAGGAATTTTACATTATTACCATTGACAAACAATTAAAATATTCCACTTAATTCCAGTTTACAAAGTGCTTTTACTTTTAGAGATGAAAAGAACTCTGGACCTCAGATTTTAAGTGACTTGTCTAATGTCACACATTTAACTAAAATGAAGAGGCAGAGGCTCTGAAGAACTCAAAGTCCTATGGCTCTACCCCGGCCTTCCTTGCCCTCACCAACTACATAAGCAACAAATGCATATATTCAATGTAAAAAACACTCAAATACCTAGATGCTCAAACATCAACTTCAGCATCTGTAATGGAAATCAATTATCTCTTGAATGAATGAACAGAATGCCACTCCTGTGTTCAAAATCTTTTCAGTGTTTCTCCACAGCATTCAGACAAGGTCAAAACTCCTCAGTCAGTCAGTCTTCAAAATTTGACTCATAATTATCTCTTTATCCAAACTACCAAAATCATTCCACCATGTTCCAATTCCACCAAAGTATTCAGAAATGTTATTCTAATCATAATTTTTAGACAATCTGATCCCAAATGACATTACTGCTATATACAAATAAAAGAGAAGCAAACAAAAAAGTGATATAAAAAGTGAAAACATTATCCATCTTGTCAGTGCAACATTTAAACACTGCAATGGAATACCAAATTTTGCATTAAAAAATGGCTTTACTCCAGCTACCCAGAGGGACCGAGTAGTTGATACTGAGGGCTTGGGACCATAGTCGCAGGGGACATCAAGCTCAATTGGCATAACATACTATACAAAACATTGTTCCACCT